ACATACACGCATGCACAAAAGCATGCACGGCGCTCGCGCGCACACACGTGTGCACGTGTTCGCCCTACAGCACCATGGCCTCAGAACGCTGTCTCTCTACTCATCCTGCCTTATAAACACACAAGACACTGCTTTGTTGACAGCAGTGTTGAGAACAAATGCTGTAGCTGCTATTAGCTAATTCAGCAGCATGACAATGGCTCATACAATAGATAAAATCCTACAGATGAGTGTACTACTTCTACTGTTAAAAAAAAAATACTAGGTTTCCTAATCATCTTAAATACTACTGCAGTAACTCCATATGAGATTGAATTTTTCATTCATAACTATTAGTTGGTCCGTTTAAAGTGCTTTTCTCTGTTAACATCAAAGTATTTAAAGCAGCTAAGAATATCAATTCCCTAAAAGGCAAAATTGATTCAATTCACAAGATAAATGAAACGAAACAAAACCCTTATTGCTGCTGGCAGAAGAGCAAACTAGTTTAATACTATGGAAGCAAGTATGGGGCTTGTCAAAACACTAAAAATAGACCTGCCCTGATGTGACCCAGCTACATAATGCCTGAGCGCATAGGAAGGATTCCGCAGCCCACTGCAGAAGATACTTGAATGTTCATGTTTATTGCTCCTCTATTCACAAAAGAAAAAGAGAATAGCCTAGATGTCCATCAACAGAAAAAAATAATGAAAATGTGCCAAATACACACAATGGAATCTTACTCAGCTGTTAAAGCAAAATGATAAGATTTGCAGGTGGAACCCAAGAAAGTACACTGAGTGCCACGGCCCAGTCTCAGGAAGACTAACACTACACATATATTCTCTTTCATGCCCAACTCCTAACTTTTAAAGTTTGTGTGTAAGTAAATAAGGAGTTCTACAGGTAGGTACCAGCTGTGAATGTAAGGATTCCTGACTCAACCGGGGTTTCTATTGCAGTAGCAAACACCATGACCAAAAGTCACTTGGGGAGGAAAGGCCTGCTTCCATGTTACAGATGGCAGTCTATCATGAAGAGGGGAGTCAGAACACAAACTAGAGGCAGGGACCTAAGCAGAGGCCAGGGAAATGTGTTGCTACTGGTTCACTCAGCCAGCTCTCCTCACGGGCCACGCCCACATCCATCAACTAATAAAGAAACTGCCCCACGGGATGTCCACCACTCAATCTGATGGATACATTTTCTCAACTGTCATTTCTTCTTCTCTGATAACTATTGTATATCAATGTACATAAAACCATGAACCACGAAAGGGGAACAAGAGGTATCAAGAAGAGGATTGATAAAGGGGCACATATAATCTGAATGGTGTCAAGAAGAGCACTGGAGTCGAGGGAACGGGGAGAGGGGAAGCAGGGAAGAAGGGGGAAGGCTGCACTAGTTTGCTTCCCTGCTGCTGCACGAAAACACTGACCAAACGTAATCTGGGCAAGGGAAGGGTTTACTTGGCACAGTCCATTTTGAGAGCAGCCAGGGCAGGAAAGTGAAGGTGGGAACCACTGAAGTCACAGAAGAGTACAGCTTCCTGGCTCACTTCCCAAACCATCCTCATCTTGCTTTTTGATCTGTCCCAGGAACACCTGCCCAGAGGTTGGGACAACCCAAAGTGGTTGGGTCCTCCCTCATCAGTCACAAAGCAAGAAAATGCCCCCAAAGTCAGGTCCAAAGGCCAAGCCAATGAAGGCCAATGTCTCAACGGAGGATCTCTTGTTGCAGATGACTGTAGTTAATATCAAGCTGCCAAAAAATATCCAAGATGAAAGAAATAGCAAAAACAAAATTTGAAAAATGTTATAACCAAACCTAATTCTTTGTGAGCCAGTAAAAATAAAATACTTTGTTTAGACGTGTTCTCACTATGTATCCCTGGCTGGTCCTCAACTCTCTATGTAGACCACACTAGTCTTGAGCTCACAGAGACAAGCCTGCCCCACCACCCAAGTACTAGAATTAAAGGTACATAATAGCATGCCTGTCAAACACATATTTTTAAAAAGATAGTTAATAATAAATATGTTTTATTTCTGATGCCCCTCCCCTCAAATGACAATGCTCTCCAATTTGTTAGACTTCCCTAAACATATCTAACTATAACACTTCTTTATTTTATTTTATTCTAGTTTGTAGGTTTCATAAGAACTTATATTTAAGCTTCCCTAATTCCATCAATTTAAATACCTGGCCTTAGCTAGAGATTCTTTGAGAATTTCATGTCCTCACTGCCCAGCCCCCCCCCCAAAAACCTCTGAAGAATAATTTTTTAAAAAGCAAACAAAAAACAGTCTCTGTTATGGAATAATCTTTTTGTATACTATGAAGATGTGTCTGCTAAGGCACCCACCGATTGTTTTAATAAAGACCTGAACATAGCGGACAATGAGGACTACTGAGAACTCAAGAACAATGGCAATGGGTTTTTGATCCTACTGCACATACTGGCTTTGGGGGAGCCTAGGCTGTTTGGATGCTCAACTTACTAAACCTGGATGGAGTGGGCGGTCCTTGGACTTCCCACAGGTCAGGGAACCCTGATTGCTCTTCGAGCTGATGAGGGAGGGGGACTTGGTCGGGGGAGGGGGAGGGAAATGGGAGGCGGTGGCGGGGAGGAGGCAGAAATCCTTAATAAATAAATAAAATTAAAAAAAAAAGACCTGAATGGCCAATAGCTTGGCAGGAGAGGAATAGGTAGGATTTCCAAAAAGACAGAAGAAGAAGAGATCAATCTTGGCACGTGGAGATGTCAGCAAGATGCAGACCAAGTAGGATATACAGAGACTAAACAAAAAAAAAACAAAAAAAAACAAAAAAAAAAAATACAGCTAGCTCTCCTAGGACTTGACCATTGTTCCAATTTTCTCAGGGTCCCCTAAAGATGTCATTGCCTTTGGACAACAGGAAACAATCTAAGGAACACAACTGCCACATTCTCAAGAGGTGGAGTGGGTGGTTTTGGGCCATTCAGTGGGTTATAAATGTTGGTCATCATTTGGGCGTGGGGGGAAGGTTTCAAGTTGTTACTGGTAACGGTCAGGAAAACAAGTAAAAAGAGAAGATTAGATTAAGAAATCTCTTTCTGAAAAGAAAAAAAATAGTATATTTTGACTCTACTTTTAAACTAAAAAAAAAGCAACTACTGCCGGGCAGTGGTGGCGCACGCCTTTAATCCCAGCACTTGGGAGGCAGAGGCAGGCGGATCTCTGTGAGTTCGAGACCAGCCTGGTCTACAAGAGCTAGTTCCAGGACAGGCTCCAAAACCACAGAGAAACCCTGTCTCGAAAAACCAAAAAAAAAAAAAAAAAAAAAAAAAAAAAGCAACTACTAACCTCAAATATTTTACATTGGTATAGATTTTTGTGTATTGATACAAATTAAGGCTATTTTTGTTTTAATATACTGTATATATGTTTCTACTCTTATTTAAGGCATTGTACCTGAGTAGTTCATTTTATAATGTAAAGTTCTAGTTCTTAAAAGCTATTATTACAAACTATTTAGGATAATTAAGAAATTCAGGTTAGTAGTTAGTCATCTATAACCATCAAAAATGTAGTCATATTAGGTATGTTTTCAAGGTGAAACAGATATATTTTAGACTGATGATCTTCAAGCAATTCAGAGACCTACAGAATATGGAATTTAAGATATTTTAATAACATAAGGCTTTTCATGACAGTGAGAAACATTTGCTCCTGGCAGCACCAATCTACTTCAAAAAAAAGGATGATGGGCATCAAAGAACCTCCATATGGACCCAGACATGGCCCTAGGCAGCAGCCCATGGCTAAATGACACCATGGCCCTACGTGGCAGCACAGCCCACCCAGATCGGCATGGCCCCAGTAGCATGGCCCTCAAACAGAATTGGAAACAAGAAATTTTTTTTCAAAACAGGGTTTCTCTGTGTAACAGCCCTGGTTGTTCTGGAACTCACTCTGTAGACCAGACTGGCCTCAAACTCAGAGAGATCCACCTGCTTCTGCCTTCCAAGCACTGAAATTAAAGGTGTGTGTCACCACCACCTGGCATAGAGAAAATTTTCAAACATATATACACAAAAAAATAACATCATACATATACAAACATCAATGCTTCGGGTCTAGATATTTATTTATTTAAAAAATTACTGAAAACTTCTGTATGCCAAGTAATATACTGAGAGACTAGCACTGACTGAGAAAATCAAGAAGAAATCCAATCCTGAACAAATCAAAGCTGACCATGCAGCCTTACTATCTAGTTGGGATGAATGAATACAGATAACCAATAGGTTAATGTAACGGGCAGCATTAACAACTGTTAATCAAACAAAGATCAAGGCAACAGCAATTTTAGCCAGAGATGTCCCAGGATTCACTGAGAAATACCATGGTGGAGCCACTGGGCACACACTTGAGCATCTGTGGCGGGGAAGGAGAACACTGCCCACCTGTTTAAGGTCAAGGTTTAAAGTCAGAAAAAGCATTCAGGCTGCTGGTGTTGGCCAAGGGAGGAGGCTGGTGAGGACAGTTGTTCATAAAAGGATTCTAATCACAGGAGTGGCGTGATTTCTGTCCTAACAGGATCGTTCTGGCTACAATGTGGAAAGCTGTGTTAGCAAGATTAACTAGCATCAACTGTCATTACAAAGACAAAGGCAGTGTTACTGACCAGAAAAGAGGCAGTGAACATAGGGTAGGAGGGAGTAACCAACACCAGTAAGGCTTGCTAAATTGGAGTAAAAACAAGCAGGAAAGCCAGTCGGGGGATGCTTTGGCCCAGACAAGAGATGATGGTCTGCCCAGCACCTCCACAGCTGAGTTATGCAGAGATCAACACGGGCAAAATCATGGGGACATCAACAGGATATGCTGAGTGAAAAGAGGGTAGCTGTCAGCTGCACCCTAGACTTCCTCGTGCTCACCATGAGGGGCGCTGAGTTCTCAGAGGGTGCAGGAGACAATCACTTGAAGAATCGACAGGGAGATGGAAATACAGCAGCACACTGCCTCACTTACCCAAATTGGGATCTGGAGCCTGGCGCTTCTTAATCTTAGCTTCAGAAATAGCAGAATAATAGGCACAAGTCATCTTGATCAGCCACGTTGCTCGAACCATTGGCACAGAATACTTAGCTAAATATGCAAAAACGTCCTCTTTTTTACTAAGGATGGGGACCTAGAAAGAAATAGCATATAACGATCAGACACGATAGCATTGCTAGGCGAACTTACAGGGAAGGGAGCAAGGGAAGGACTCGAAGTTAGATGCTGCTATAAGAAAGACTGGTGCACTTTCAAACAGTGCATGTGGTATTAAAAGAGGGAAGAAATTTTAAGCCAATTTTTACTAAGAAATGGAAATCAAAATTATGTTTCGCACATGGAAAAATGGTTATCAGCTGTGCTTTCTTATTTATAAAACAAAATCTTGTCGCATTTCCAGATGAGGAAAGTTATTAAATAATTCCATGACGCTCTTCCAAATGATTTATCCCCAAATCAGATGGGACAGTTCGGCTAGGCTTTGTCACCATCCTACATTTTATCTGGGGACACTTTTCTGTATTGGGCTAACTGCAACATTTCATAAATGCAACCATTTCCAGAAACTATCTGGAAGTATCTTTAGCCCAAAGTGTTAAGTAGAGTCTAAGATGATGGATCATTGAATTCGCCTAATACACACTGAGCTACAATAGCTGAGCAATTAATTCGCTGGCTGAAGTAGACACTTGAGGCTGTTAATTATTTCTTCAAGACCACAAAGGTACAATTCAGCAAATTAGTATCCCAATATACCAGTGAATAGTTCGAAAGAGTTAATTCATTCTTCCAGAATACCTCATAAATACCCTATAAACATTCTGCTATTCTATGTAATTTATTTAATTGATGAACATGACAACAAAAGTCAACAAGAGGACATTTGCTCCAATGCAGCGGGAAGAGACTAGTAAAACTGTAAGGTGCACACCCTCCACACCCCTAGCAGGGTGACTACTTCTGTGATACTTCCCTAGGTCTTGCCAGTCAAGCCCACTATTTTCCAGTCATTTATGAATTTTGATAATACCAATCCTATGCACCTGGCAAAGTGGGTATTCTAATTTTTTTAAACATGGGCATAAAAACTACAGCAAGGGGGATTTTCTCTACACCAGCCCACGTGTTTTCATGCCATGGATTTGGCCCTTTCAAAAGAAGACACCGGAACCCTGCCTTGGATATCAAGAAACCTGATCTCTCCACCCCAAAAATCATTCTTAAATTTGGGTTGCAAAGTCAAGGCTTCAAACCTGCCAATTCATAGAGCATAGCATTTTTCTAATAGCTTGCAAGTCAACATGGACTTTTAAATTTAACTATTTGCATGCCTGGTACAACATGTGATCTCTAGAATTAAAAAGCTCACCTGATTTTATATATATATATCCCCTAAAACCAAGCTATTTCAGTTAGGCTTTCCAAAGAAACACCAAGCTGTTCCAATGCTGGAGGAACACTTGCCTGCCTTGGGCAATGGGGTATAGTGTATCTACACTGTGTTTAAAGAAAACTGAAAACTTTCTGACCAGGTACACTTGCTGCCTTAAGTACTGAATTTAGAACATTGTCACCATGACACAGAAAACCACACTGCACAAACGTGACAGGAGGCAAAAGACATACGGGATAAATCTGTAAAACATCTTCTCTACATAACACAGTGGTACATTTTAATAAGAAAACACCCTGCAAGTTTAGAATACAAGGCACATCTTTCGCGGAACAAGGTCTCTGTGTTTACTATCATTTAAGACAGAGACAAGCAAAACACAGGGTCAAACATTCAGCTCAAGACCTGACGCTTTTCACTAGAATATAAAATATGGAACCAGTGGCTTAAATTGTATCAGGCCAGGGCAAAATGTATCTCATTCACATACACCAAAAAGATGTAAGAGCAAAGCCTAAAACCACAGACAAATGCAAAGTAAAAGTTAGCAACTCCAGAAGTCTTGATAACTGTATCTTTCATAGATGGCCAAAGGATTTATTTAGACGGCAAACGTTGAGCGGGAAAAATGCAAACAATTGAAAATTTGAAGTGTTTGGATAAAATAGCATAGAAAACTGAGCAAAATGGCAAAATTCTGAGTTGAGTCAAGTCAGAGCTTCAATATCCAAACAAACAGATGTGAAGAAAGTTAGCTGATTAAGTGAAAAGATATGTATGATGGCTTTGTCCAATCTATAGTTCGGGCCTACTTGGGGAGGAAATGATGTTTTCCAGTGATATTTTTTTTCCAGTGATAATTTTTTTTTTAAGGAAAACACCTGACATCAACTTGACATTGAACCTAGGCAATCACTGGGCAGTATTTTAGTTTCTAAATCAATCTAGAGCTGCAAAAGAAATTGAGATGCTAAGTGTGTGCTTCCTGCATGAGCACAAGGCTACTCATTGCTACCACGTCTGCCCTTGGATGTTTGCCACCATCGGCATCTTCTGTTACCTCATCAGGACCAGGTCGAAAAGGAATTCAGACCACAGGAGCCAAGGGCACGTTCATAAACAAGTGAGAACTAAACAGCTGTTCAAGAGTTAGAAGAGTATCCCTGGTTGTCCGAATTTTCCTCTTCCAAATCAGGTAATGGTGGACTGAACTAAAAGTCCTCACAGGCCCCTCTGGAGTACAGTGTAACTTTATACTAATGAAAAGCCATGCTGGAAACATGATCCATTCCATAGAGAAAGATATTCTCAAAGCTGGGGAAGAACTGGAAGACGACTCCAGACCACAGCACTGTTTCCTGCCTTATCCCTTCTTCCATGTAAACATCAGAAATTAACTAAGTAGTTGAATAAGAAGACCATGTAGAGAATTTGGTCCTTTGCCCAAATATACAAGAGCCTTTGCCATCTCAAAAGGATGAAGTTCTGAGAAGAGGAGAAGAAGGACTCCTGGAATGCCTAAGACATGAATACATGAGAGTCAATGTTTTATAAAGAACATATCTATGTTTGCAAAGAATTAATGCCAGGGCTTACCTGAGGGACACCTGACTTGGCCAGAGGCAGCTCCTAATAAAGAAAGAAGAACAATGGCTAATACAGCACACCATGACTTATGTCCGTCCCTCCTAAAAGATAAGAGACCCCTACACCCTTAAAGCACAGAAACCAACTCCTTACCAATATTCACTTTAAGAAAGCATCCAAAAAGTATACTTAGAGCTTGTAACAAAGGGAAACTTTAAAGAACACCCGGCTGACGGCACAGAGAAAGGCTATGAATCGATGTTCAGAAGCCATCAAACTCTGCAGGACACTCTCTGGCTTCCATGGCCTTCAGAGACAATCTGTCCACGGGCCACAGTGAGACCACAAACAGATGTCAACACTGGGGAAGAAGAGCTCCAGCTCCACAGTTCAGCCAGGTTGAGACAGTGGCACTAACTCTGTAGGAAGAGTTGGTCACACTTAAAACAAGTGTTCTTCAAAGACTGCAGGTGCCTTTCATCCTTTCATTTCTATCATCCACCTATCTATCTATCTATCTATCTATCATCTATCTGAGGCATGTGTAGTGTCAAGATATTATAGCAAAATAAAGCCAATGGAGGATGCAGGTACTATTTTCAAAGAGTCGCTTTCAAAAACAAACATGCTAGTGTACCAAGGCATTCTCTTCTGAGCTGGTCCATACCAGGTGGAAGTGGTAATGGCATACTTAGAACAGAAGATGGCAGCCCCTAAAACTCAGGGGCACCAGGGGAGATGAGAAGAGACACCTGGGACTATTTCGAAAGCACACAAGAAGTCAGAGATAAAGACTAAGAGGGCGATTTCTAACTTCTTTACTGTAAACTTTCAAAGGACAGCTTGCATTATTCAGATTATAAGACTATCGAACCTATATGTGGATTATTCACACAGAAGAAAATTGTGAGAGACAAAGATTTTAAAAGAAATTCCTACCACCCCATCCACCCTATACGCGTCATTATCAAAAATGCTGAGAGTGATAAATGCATCTGCTTGTTTTGTTTGAAAGATTTTTTTCATAATACAAAGCTCAGCCAGAATAAGACTGCATTTAGCCTAAGGATATTATTTACATGCGTGTGTATGTGCATGCATGTGTATGCGTGTGCGCGCGTGTGTGTGCGCGCGTGTGTGCGTGTGCGCACGTGTGTGTGTGCGCGCGTGTGTGCGTGTGTGTGTGTGCGTGTCTGCGCGTGTGTGTGTGCGTGTGTGTGTGTGTGTGTGCGCGCGTGTGTAACTCCCAGTCCCAAGTACTGGGATAATAGACAGAAGCCTGGGATTACACTCCTCGCTGGGAAGGATATTTAATAAGGATCTTTTTATCGTAACATGGACATCTTGATCAAAGAAAACTGAAAGTGTAATGAGGGAGAAATGAAGCCTCACTGCCCACTTTTCAATTACATCTAAGTCCACCTACACTGCCTCTGTGCAGATCCTTTAGGTTTTCAGATGCCCTGAGCACCTCATGTAATCAAAATATAGAGGGAAGGACCTACGAAAAGTGATGGGCCATGTGCACCTGCAACTGGGCCTTCAGTCTATAAAAGAGTGAGGGGAAAATGAACGGACATGTGAACACTATGTCAAACAGCTTTGCTTATCACGCTGTAATTGTAACAATGGAAGGAAATACTTGATACCTTTTTCGCCAAAACAGCAAGTGGTTTATTCCCGGCTAAGTCCGAGAACCAACTATGAATTGCGCTCTGAGATCGAGCAGTAACCAGCCAGTAATTATCTTTCGCATTAACTTGGGGTTTCTTCTTTCCCGTGTCCTGGAAAGTGTTAAGCTTTAGTTTCTCAGCCAATATGCTGCTGAAGTATGCGCCGATCTACAGGAAGAAACGGAGACGAGACAGTATTTAAAGACAATGTGCAACTCTCTTAATATTTTGCATATTTTATCTTCATTGATTCAACTAGAATCTTTACACAGTCCATCAGAGAACAAAATGGAAACTTAAATTTTTGAAGCCCCAAACCATGATTTCCATATAGTAAAGTCCTGAAGCCCAACGGTGTGATTTCTGTCCGGTAACACAATGCAAAACTTAGGCAGCAGATGTGTCCCACTGACCCCAAACAGTTGGGAAACGAGAATCAAGGTGAGCATTCCCTTCCTTGTTTCATCTTAATTAATAGCACGTGCAAATTTTAGAAAGGAGCTCCGATGTTAACACTGGATGTTGCTTTCTTAAAGAACCTAGAGACATTTATTTAAAAGGAAAATTGCAAAAGGTAGAGCTAAATTAGGTGCTCAGCATTTTGACTGCATTGCCAATTTTATAAACACGAGAAGACAAGGAAGGAGGGTCACTAACACGGAAGAGGACAGGGCAGAGAAGCCGGCTTCTGCCAGTTATTTTATCATTTCGTGTTACCTGTCGTAGAGGATGGGCAAAGAGCAGTAGGGTGGGGAGAGGAGCAAGGAGCCAAAGGGGAGATGGCCAAGGGCGGGACAGGAGCAAGAGAAGAGATTCAGGAAACCTACAGGAGAACTGCTGAGAGTTTTCAAGAATCCAGAAAGCAGCTCATTTGCTTCCTGAGGATCTTTCAATCATATGATGCAAACAATTTCTAAAAAGAGTTTTAGCCAGCAGTGGCAACCAAAGTGAGGTAAGAGCACTACTCTGGAAAGATCCAAAAGTAAGCGTCCCACCGCAGTTATAAATTGGAGGTAAGTTCCCTGCATAGTCTGACCCAGTTTGACTGGGGCCATTCATCAGGTTTATCATCAAGACAAAACGTTGGTACAAATTTTTGTTTAATATGAATAGAAATTCCCTGAACCGGAAAGTGCTAATAAAAATTGTGGTGGTTTGAAAAAGAATACCTCCAGAGATTCATATATTTGAATGCTTGGTCATCAGGAAGGGGCACTATTTAAAAGGATTAGGATTAGGAGGTGTGGCCTTGCTGGAGGAAGTCTGCCACTGAAGGTGGGCTTTAAAGCTGTAAAAAGCCCATGCCAAGCCCTGAGTCTCTCAGTTTCTCTCTCTGTCTCTCTCTGTCTCTCTCTCCGTCTCTCTCTCTGTCTCTCTCTGTCTCTCTCTCTCTTCTCTCTCTCTCTCTCTCTCTCTCTCTCTCTCTCTCACTGGTGATGGATCGTGATGGAGCTCAGTTACCTCTTAGTGTTTGCCTGCATGCCACCATGCTCCCTGCCATGATGAAAAGGGACTTCGCCTCTGAACTGTAAGCTCCTCCAATTAAATGCTTTCTTTTGTACTGGCTACCTTACTCCTGGTGTCTCTTCACAGGAATAGCATAGTGACTAGCAAATACTAGAGTAAGCAGATACACATAGATATGGGATTTAGGTTTTCAAACCAATTCACTGATGTTTTTCTGTGTAAAGCAAATGTTTCTAGAACCTTCTGTGGATAAACTAAGAAGAAGCAGGACCAATTGGCTGTAAAGCAGTCACTAGTGACAAATTGTTAGGATTTTAAATTTCTCAACTGATTTTGATCTTTCTACCAAAACACAACTAAGAGTATATACTACTGCATAGTAAAGAGACCTCTAAGTTCCACTATGTCTAGGTATGTTAATCATAATGAACAAGGGTGTAAAAATGAAAAGAGAAAATTACTCTAAGGAGTCAATATACCCTCTTAATAATGGGGGAAAAACTGAATATAAGTGTTTTATAATTCTCCTCAGTGAATCTTGTAAACAAATTCATACTGTAAGCAAAGTCAAAATTTCTAAGTAAATAAGACAGGAGAAATGCACGTTAGGGCTCCAAAAAAATGTGAAAACAATATCACATTAATAAATGTTTCAAGATTGGTCTCATGCTGGCCTGGATCATTGCCTCCATGTCCTTCCTGCCACTGGGACTACAGGTTTGCCAGCAACCAGCTCGAGTATTTAGTTTTAAGAACAATATATTTATATTATTCAAAAATCGGAAGATACGTATTTTTAAAGCCCCATCCTCTAAACCTCTTTCCTACCTCCAAGTCATTAACTTGATTAGCTGGTTGTGTAGCCCTCTCCTCCGTTACATGAACAGACACAAGCAAACACAGACTTGTGTTTTCCTGTCTAGCATACCGTGCACACTATGCACAGTCAGAATGGGTCTACCTATATGTGGAATTCATTTACTTGTTTAGCGACACATTCGCGTTCTGCGTGGGTATGCTGTCCTTTATTTAATCAAAAGCGTATTAACGAGCACCTGGAGCAGTGGTTATAAACTTCAGTGTTAAGAATGCTGCTAAAGTGAACACCTTTCCCATTCGTTACGGGCATGTATAGGGCAATTTCGATAATTTGGATGGCATGATTCTACAGTTTTAATTATACTATCCATATCACCCTTCAAAAGGTCTAATGCCAATTTATATTCTTTCAAAGAAAGCGTTAAGAAGGTTAACTCAACACTTGTTTTTATCTGCCAAGAAGTATTCAGATAATAGCTCCTTTGATAAGAGCACGGGAAAGGTCAAGTGTTAAGCACTAAGATACATGCAGTTCATGCTAATGAAATCAAGTTCACATAAGAAATATTATGTCTTTGGAGAGATCTCACAGAAAAAGTGGTCCAAATTGGTAAGTGTTAATTTTGTTAACTTGGTTACTTAAATTAACATAAAAATTGACACTAGAAACCAAGAAGTGAGCAGCTCCTTAACACATTAAAAACTCCTACTCTCTTATATGAACTAAATGATATGAACTCTGAAATGCTCAAAATCCACACACTGAAACCCAAGCCCCTAACGTTACTACGATTGACAACAGCCTTTTATTTTATCGTTTTGATTTTATCATTATTTGAATGTATAAGAGAAAAAGAGAGGGGGAGGGGCTTCAGGCACATCCATGCCAGAGCATGTGGATGTCAGGGGACAAAGTCCTGGAGACAGATCTCTCCTTTCTGTCTGAGGCAAGGCCTCAGTTTTTATGAAGACGAAGCTTGTAAGGATATGTGAACAACGTGTGCAGAAAGCAGGCGGTAGTTTCTGCCTCCCAGATGTTTGTGTGTAGACTGAAACTGTCTGACTAGAGAGAGAACTGCTGCCCAGACTGGCCAGCCCATCCTCCTTGTGCTGTACATAACAAAACGCTGAATTTCCAGGTTGCCGGAGGAGCCCTCCATCAAAGCTGGCACAGCTCACCTCATCCCGGCTTTTCTGTATGTCATTTCTTCACTGTACGCTGGTTCTTCTTTCCCGAGTTGCCCCATTCAGATGTCCTGCTGGACCAAGCCAGGTGGGACATGGCAGCAGATCACTTAAGAAAGATGAAAATGTTCTGGGAACAGGCAGTAGGGTGATGGTTATATAGCAGTGTGAATGTGTGTACTACCCAAGATCTACACGCTAAAACAGGGTGAAGTGGCAAACATTAAGTGTGCTGAGATGTGTGTGTGTGTGTGTGTGTGTGTGTATTAATCACAACTACAAAATCATAGTTGTAACAAGAAGTGTATAAAGTTCGCAAAAGACAAACTTTAAAATGTCACTGTGTCCAGTCAATGGAACTACACACAAAACTGCCTGTTTTCTTTCACACCTTTGCAATGGCATTTAAACTGATGAGTTAGCAGCCAATTATTTCTGTGGTTTTGTGAGCCAAAAGAAGTGTAGCTATTGACTTGTGCTTTTTATTTCTTTCTTGTATTTATGATGTTTTTAACTTCATGAGAGTAAAAATATTTTAATATCAAAGAGTAATAATGTAAAAAGAATTTAAAAATCAATCACTAAAAGAAAATGAGCAAAAAAATACTCCTATCTAAGTATCAGATTGATCCATGGAAAAAGATATTTAATTCAAGAAACTTCTGAACATAATATTCTAACTACAATTTTTTTTACATTTTTAATTAAAATATAACTTATCACTTTCCCCTTCCTTCCCTTCCTCCTAGGCCCTTTCTCTCTAACTCTGACTATATATTTTTAATGAAAGTTGGTCTAAGGACAAAGGTATTGGAGAAAAAGTATAAATCTTGCACATAACTTAGGCTGTTGTGATGACACCAAGCACGTCTACTCAGAAACATTGTGTGTGTGCTGTGACACAGAACAGACTCTGCTGGCACCACGAGGAACAAGGCTCACTTCAGGGAAAGGAAGACACAAAGACCAAACAGGAAGAGGAAAGGAAGTAACGTGTGAAGTTCCGCTGGAAACGGGTAGCTACTGAGAGGTAGAGAAGACGGAGGAGTTAGACAGGAGAGTGTTCGTCCTCTCTGCCCGCTGGAAGGACCTGGAACTAGCAGTGCTCTAGAATGGCTGAGCATGCCAAGCACCCAGGGGCAGACACAGACAGAACAAGACGAACCTGGAAGTTGCAGAACAGTGAGAATGGTGGGAATGCCTAACCAGGGTTTAAAGGGCCCCTGCTTAACAAAAATGGAAAATGTGGGCAGCTGAAAGAAAAATGAATGTAATAAAGCATAACCCTTTGCGTGAAATTTATAGAAGTCTAGGCATTTATATGATTTCAAAACAGCATTACAAGGGGATTCTGGTACCGCTCAATGGTAGGACATATGCACAGGATCTACACGTCCTGAGTCCAGTAAAAAAATAATAATAATAACTAGAGACCACCAAGAAACAGAAATAGTAGGAAGGCACTGGGTATCCCAGTGACTGAACGATTGGACTTAGTATAATCAACAACTGGGCCATGGCACTGTGCTCTTCCTGCCTGCAGCCCTGAATATAGTCTTAGCAGAAACAGATCTAGACACCAGCAGCTGTGTAAAACTGGCCCAGGCTCCGCTAGAGGGACAGCCACGAAAGCCATAAAACCAAGTAGAAGGTGGAAAAGGACACTGTAGTCGTCTCAGAATAAAATGTCTGACAAACAACACTATGTGTGCTTCCTGGTTTTCAAACAGGAGGAAACCTGGGACGCAGAATGGGGCATACGTAGCACATATGCACCTCAAGGGTAGAACAAACACCCCTTTCCAGGAGTTACGGGAAACAATCAGCATTACCTTTGAGGGGTTGATTACAATGTTTCTCGCAGAGCCATGTTCGTCTCCAGTGAAGGCTGGCTGATTGTTGAAACCCTGTTTTACGTTCACAGCAGTAAGTTCATCCTGTTCAAGAGAACATACTGATTAAGGAGAGAACAGAAACGCTTCAAATCAATCCAGACGCTGCAGCCTGAGTAAGAACTAAGTTCACTGTTGTCTTGAAGAGAAAGACGTTGAGAGGACAATAACCAAGAGAGCAGACACCAAAAACCAAAGCACACTTGAGTAGGGAAGGACCGAGGGCAGGGCTGTAAATGCTGACCCTGATTCCAGGTGGAGGGCATAGAGGTCGTCTGGACTGCTTACTTAGCGTACGGGAGCACGTGGTCAATCTTGACTGCCAGCGTGGCAGGATTAAAGTCATGGTGAAAACGCATCTCTGGGTATGCATAGGAAAGGAAAGTTAAACTGAGCAGGAGGACTCAACCTGACTACGGTGACACCATCCCGGGAGCTGGGGTCCTGGACTCGAGAGAAAGGAAAGATCAGGATGAGAGCAGCTCTCATTTGTACTTCCTGACAGGGGCTCCTGTCTACGCAACCACCTTAAGCTCCTGCGGCAGGGAGTTCCCTGTCATGACGGGCTGTTATTGCCTCAGCCTTACGCCAAATCCTCCCTGCCCCTATGTTACCTGTTGTAGGGGCATTTGCTCATAGCAGGGAGAAAAGTAACTACTACAAATTTTACATCCTACTACTTCACATGTGCCGTTAACTCTGAACTTATAAACTGGAAAAAGAAAAAAGCGAATATCTCCTTCCCATATGCATGGAAACAAGAGACTGTGGAACTTTTTAAGTTTTTGTAGGAATTGTTTTGTTTTTCTAGACGTGGGTCCTGGGGATTGAGCTGCCTACTCGGAAGGCTTGACAGTGAGACTCTTTTTCCAGGTGGGCCATCTCACAACCCAAGACCAGAAAATGTTTTCACTGGAATTGTTCTGAGAAGCTCACAGTTTGACTCTCTTTCCTTGGTGCCCTGTCTTTTCTAATACTGCATTTAATATCGTCTTTTTAACTTGCATGTGCATGGGTGTTTTGCGTGCATGAATGTATGCGCCACATGCATACAGTGTCTGTGGAGGCCAGAAGGCATCAAAACTGGAGTTGTGAGTTAACCTGTGTCCTCCGGGAGAGCAGCCAATGCTCTTACCTGCTAAGCAATCTCCCTAGCTCCCAGCCCCATTTTAGATTCAACAAAGCTCTCGTATACAACTTATGAAAGACCCCAGCATAGTGAGTGAAAGACAGAAATGAAATATTTACAGTAATAAGTTTGTGGTAGCAAGTATGGCCCCCATAACCCACAACAGCGGGCTGAGGGGATCACTGGTTTTACACATCCTAGATCACTTAATCCTTACCAACATAGATCCTATATGGTCAAATGCGTTTCACAGGTAAGAAAAGTGACATACATTATACTAGTGCACCATCTGGGCAAGCCAGCGATGAAATATTATCCTCGATCCTAGACTACAAAGAGATATTTTCATGACACAAAGAACAAATGCCACATGAAAATGAGATCTAAAAATACAATGGCTACTCCTACGACCCTTAAAATGACCTCCTGAAAAGATGTAGGAAAACGTTCCCAAGGTTAAACACATCATAAAAATAGCCTGGAATGATAATAACTATGATAATTATTATATTAAATAATCATTGTGTATAATATATAGTAAAGATAATAATTTTACATGTGACATAATAAATATTATTAATTATTACTGTTTCGTTTTTGTTTTTCAAGACAGGGTTTCTCTCTGTAACCCTGGCTCTCCTGAAACTCGCTTTGTAGACAAAGATGGACTTGAACTCAGAGATCTGCCTGCCTCTGCCACCAGGTGCTCAATTTAAGGTGTGCGCTACCAAGCCTAACAGCCTGGAATTTTAGAAATTTAAACAACAACAAAAAAGCAGAACCTCCTTGCCCTGCCCAGATTATCAATGAGTTCTAGAATAATCAGAGCTTGAGAATACTGGCAAAAGATGCTATAGGAAATGAAGCAAGCAACAGCCTCAGTGAACTGAGCTGATGGTCACCACAGCACAAAAGGCAGAATGACAGGCACCAGTTGCAACTGTGAGTCAGAAAACAGTGCTCCAAGGGTGTTGAAATACGGAGCAGCCGGCTGTGTCCCGCCACCCGGCTAGCTTTACCCGAAATAATTACACGGAAACTGTATTCTTTTAAACACTGCCTGACCCATTAGTTTCAGTTTCTTATTGGCTAGCTTTTACATATTGATCTAACCCATTTCTATTAATCTGTGTAGCCCACGAGCTGGCTTACCAGGAATGATCTTAACCTGCGTCTGTCTGGAGTGGGAGAATCATGGCGACTCCCTGATTCAGCTTCTTTCTCCCAGCATTCCATTCTGTTTACTCTGCCTACCTAAGGGTTGGCCTATCAAATGGGTCTAGGCAGTTTCTTTATTAATAAGAAATCACTCCCACATCATTTCCCCTTTTTCTGTTTAAACAAAAAAGAAAGGCTTTAACTTTAACATAGTAAAATTATATATAGCAAAACAGTTATCAAGCAAGAATTACAGTTACAATATTTATATCTATTTTATCTTTTATCATTACTAAGGAAAACTATAACTATCTATTTATTCTTCAACTCCATCAAAGACTCCAGAAGGATATAATATTACCTAAGTAAACAAGAAATAAGAAAACTCTAGAAATGACAGAGACATCTTGCTGCCTGGACAGTCGCCCAAAGTTCTTTTGTATGGTTGGGGCATCCATCTTCAGCCTTCAGGCCCATAGTATCCAGCAGACATTTCCATGAAGCAGGAAATTTCAAAGACAGTTCAGTCACTATCTGCTGTGTCCTGCAGAATGTCTCGCAGACTCTTTCATGAGTCATGAACCCCAAAAGACCGTCTCACCTTTAGGCAAGTTCAGCAGTCCTCTCTCTGCGGGTTCTCTTTGTCCAGTTTATGCAACAGTCCAGGCAAGAACAGTTTCTTGTCCAAATGGCTATCCAACTCCATAAGGATCCTCTTCGATGCCCATCTTCCTCTCAAAGTAGATTGGTGCCACCAGGAGCAGATATGTCTCATTGTCATGAAAAGTCCTAAGTTATTAAAACATTAAATGCCATATTCTGCAGTCTTTGAAAGATATGAAGAATGTCTATCTAACTGAAATGTATTTCTATATATCTAGAAAATCTAACTAACATGACTACAAGCTTGACTATTATTGATGATTAACCATTAACCTATATTTTTTAATTATACATTACATTTTTAAATGAACTACACAATCACAATACCTTAATCAAGATCAGAAATACATATACATATAACAAAATTGACTGTAAAATCCACACCAATGCAAATTACTCATACCTATATCATTTCCCCCTTTAAATGTAAAAGAACATTTACAAACAATATTTTGGGAACATGGGCGCAGTTTTTTTTCTCCAAACTGCTTCCTGCTGAATGGGGGCGTCGTTAATTAGGTCTTTCATGGTATAACCTGTGTGCTAGTTTCATCTCAGTTGGCAGTTGAGCGAAGCAATTTTTTGAAGATGTTCACAACAACCTTTCAGGAGGGCGTGGTCTATCATACCAAATTGTAATAGAAGAAATCCACAGGGTCTGGTCCTCTGTGAAAACAAAAGAAGACCCTCTCCAAAGCATCATATTCTTAAACCCAAATTTTGAAATCGTAATACCCTTATATCCATTCTGGTTTAGGTTGGCAGCCCATGTAATGAAATGTCTCTCTGTACTTAGCTCCTTCATAGTCAAAAAATTTAAAGAAAACACAATGTACATAATCCAGACTCTCTGTGAATTTTTCATTTTTACGTGGCTTATTTTTCTTTATTTCTTTTAATCTCTTAACTATCTATACTCTGTCTCTTTAAAGACTTTACCTTTTTTTTTTAAACCATTAACTTTATTCTCTATATTCTTTTTCTTCTCTCTCTCAAGCCTACGTACATTCATCCAACAGTGTGGTATTTTATGTCTGAATCTGTTTTATTGTGAATCTATAACATTTTTTTACTATCCAGGAGCATTTCTTAAAATGTTAAGCAGTTCTTAAAAACTTAAGTTGCACCATGTACAGGTAATACGGTACCGCCTGTGTCCTGCCCAGTTGAAACCCTAAATGCGCTGTTTTTATGGTAATTACGGTAGTTCCTGTCTGAGACCAGCACAGTTTAGCATGGCAGAGCTGAGCCAAGCCGCTCCTGCCTCAGAGCCATTTGGTGCCCCTGAGCCACACACAGTTCCAGGCACACAGCAGTCCACATTGTCATCAAGCAAGCCGTAGAGCTTTACTCCAAATGCTCCATTCAAAAGCTCTGTCTCCCTCAGGAGCCAGACAGAGATCGCAGTGGCGGCACAGCCCAGAAAGCCGGCATTTTAAAACAGCCAGTTTTTTCCTGTTGCTGAGTCAGGACAATTTCTTTGCAGCACGCAACCCACAAACAGCAAAAAGCTGTCTTAAATTCTCTCTCTCTCCTTTTTAAGCCCTCTCAGGTTTTACGTGGAGTTCATTAGCATGTTGGATGCCACTCTGTTGAAATACGGAGCAGCCGGCTGTGTCCCGCCACCCGGCTAGCTTTACCCGAAATAATTACACGGAAACTGTATTCTTTTAAACACTGCCTGACCCATTAGTTTCAGTTTCTTATTGGCTAGCTTTTACATATTGATCTAACCCATTTCTATTAATCTGTGTAGCCCACGAGCTGGCTTACCAGGAATGATCTTAACCTGCGTCTGTCTGGAGTGGGAGAATCATGGCGACTCCCTGATTCAGCTTCTTTCTCCCAGCATTCCATTCTGTTTACTCTGCCTACCTAAGGGTTGGCCTATCAAATGGGTCTAGGCAGTTTCTTTATTAATAAGAAATCACTCCCACATCACAAGGGCACTATGGTTAGTCGAAAATCTTAAGACAAAACTGTATAATTTACATTTTAAGTCAGAAAGCTTTTGATCAAACTTAAGAAATAGCTAATAAAAAAAAATGCCTATAGTCTTAGCATCTAAAACAGCAGGGATACAAATGGGGTCATG